TTTTGCATTTTAGGTAATGATGCGTTTCAAACTACATAGCATGTGAGTTGTCCTTTTTTGAACAACATAACTAATGAGGTAATTTAATCATACTTGTTGATGCAAGTCATTTGTAGAATTGATCCCTGAATTGTAAGTAAAACAAAACACTCTTTATTCAAGAGCCGGTTGAAGCGGTTAAACTACAAGTGGACAGTTTGTAACTCAAATTCGAAGAATTCCAATGATATGCATACAATGACTTGCATAAATTCAAAAGTAACATACAAATACATGTATGCTAATAGTCTGGACAATCTGCGAGGACGGACAATAATATCAAGTAAGTAAATAGTATTTCATCGTTTTCTTTCGGGATTATTCGTTTCACGGTTTTAAGTCTTCTATTTTGATTTTTATTTTCTCAAACGTTTCATATTTTTAGTCTTTTCAAAGGGAAATCGGTTTCATACATTTTATAGATCTTCATAACCTTTGATGGCAATGAATGCGATTAAGGTATGTTTAGTGGTGGTGTTTGGAGTAATATTATCCATGTTACATCTGGTGCTTTTCAACCTTTTCTTTGTATTGTTTTCAAAGTTTTCTCCTCTTTCATCTGTTTAGAGTGTCTCCATATGTGATTGATTGATTGTGTTTAACGCCACTTTTGAACCTATTGGCAATATCGTGGCGGTCAGCTCCTTTGGGTGAAGGAAGCCGAAATGTCTGAAGAGAACCTTCGGCAGGCAAAATGACTATTTTAATCAATTAAGATTTGAGTTGCAGGCAACTCAGTTGTGCGGGGTACGAATTCACAACTTCAGTGTTGACAGGCTAGAGATGATAGTAGATGAACTACTTTGATCACTCGACCACCAATAGATGAAATTTTCTTATCAATCTTTGACACACTTAAGCGTGGAATAGACGCGGATAGTGTGTTGAAAGAAGATACGTTGTGTGTCACATAAAAAAATCATACTGCGATTTTTCTATTTGAGCTGTCAAAATGCATTGACTGTTTAATTTTGAGTGAAGTATAGTCACTGACCGTATAATGCATTTCTATCCTTTGTCAGAAAAAACTTATTTCACATTCAGTCAAGTTTCAGGTTTAGAACATTTTACATGACCGATGGTCTAGAATTTGGTGATGTATTAGGATTAGATAATAAGAGTCAATTACCAATCCGCTATTGTGTGATGTCTAATCACGTGATATAACTGTTATAAGAGTAACACGACGGGTGTCACATGTAGAGAAGGATCTACTTACCCTCCCGGAGCACCTGGGATCACCCCCGGTTTTTGGTGGGGTTCGTGTTGCTCAGTCTCCGGTTGTCTATGTTTTTTTTGGGTAATGTAGTTTGTTTGCTGGTTTCTTTCTTTTTTTAGCCATAGCGTTGTCAGTTTTTTTTCGACTTATGAGTTTGATTGTCCCTTTGTCATCTTTCGCCTCTCTTTGCCACGCCTTCCATTTTGAAATTCGTAAGAAATTGTACACACTTCTGCAATGTTGGCAATCTCTATATTTCTACTACAAAATTTAAACAAAAATTATTTGGAAATGCTTCCATTTGGACCTTATTGTCGGAAGAACCAAAACACACTAGGAAAAAAAAGGGGGAGGGGGTTCAAATAGAAGTCTGGCCAATTAATTGTTCTTATGATACCAATAGTGTAAAATATTACGTTCATTGCTTATTGTAATGCATAATGTTATATTAAAGTTTCAAAAATATATAAAAAAAAAATGACAAATAATAATTACACAAAATTGGTATATAATTGTATTAGATTGCAGTTTAATACACCGATAGTGCTCAACATAATGACCAGATAAGGATTCTGCTCAAAACTGATAATTGCTCGATAGAGATCAGCATTTTTCTCCGTTTAAAAGCCTTATCCTTTTATTGTTATTATGTCATGTCAATACACTATTATTTTCTATATACTTACAGAAGGTTATTTGTTGTATTGATTGATTTGATTAAATTTATTATCTCAAAGAAACATTGATTCATTCTACAGGTTAGGGATGGTATATACCCCATCAACAGGTAAAAATCACCAAATGAAATAAAAGATGATAACTAGTATTACAATGGCTTGATATTTTAGAAATATTTCACTGAATACATGGTTATTATATTTATATGCATCTATGACTTTTTAATAGGCGATAGAATTTTATAATAAGTAGGATTTTAGTTATCTCCCTTTGTCTGAATGCTAACAGAAGGTTTCCTTGTAATTTCCTTGAACGTATTGCTAATTGTTCACCAAAAAAATTACTGAATATGCTCGTTATTATAAAACATTATCAACTTTTTTTATTGTAAAGTACATCCTCGCACTGCATAAAAAACAGAACGCCAAACATGCAGATATATGTCTTCTGATAATTTCGTCACTGGGTTACTGTCACATTGACGTAAACCCTATACTTTAAACGTGGATATTTTCGTGGGGTTTTTTTTTCTCGATACACAAACTTTTCGCGCGGGGGTTAAATTTATGCATTACATGTAACAATAAATTGCCACTTTACATCAATATTGTTATTCTACAAATTATTCATACAGGGGATATTCTCGCGAATATAATCGTGGAATTAGCAAAATTAACCCCCGCGCGAAAAATTTCTACGTTTACAGTATATATTTTTACTGTTTTAAAAACTTGCAAATAGATTTAATTATGCTATTTTAGTTGCTATGTAACTGTCTAGATGACGTATACCTCTCATATTCTTTTAGATATACATGTGTTTTCTAACAAGGTAAAGGTGTTTTTACATGTACGATAAAGTTGAAAGTGCACAAGAGAAGATCAAAGCAAAATGTTAAGACAAAAAATGGACTTTTTATTTAAAGTCCTGTTTGATTACATGTAATCGGTTGTCCGCCTATATACATGTAGTTCCGATAGTTTTAATTTTTGTGCATGTAAACAATTATTCTGTCTTTTCTAACCAATTCTATGGCTCAACATTATTAGTTACGTTATTTCTCTAAGATGAAGTATATCATCATGACTTCATATTTTAGGTGGCATTCCTGGACTACAATTATGTGTCACAGTTGTATGAAGGGCGATTCTGTCTATTTAAACTTTAGACCTTTCTTTAAAAAAGAGAAAGGAACTCTAGAAAATCCTATAATAAAAGTGTGACTTGAGGTCTTCAGTATAAAAACACTAACTGTATATAGAATGTCACTTAAGGCATTTTTAACTACTGGTCTTCAGCAATGTTCTATGTATCCCAAATCGACTTAGCACTGACAGAGAAAATAAATCTCTTTCATATTACTGAAAAGATAAATATGATTTTTTTTTCAACATTAATGGATTTTTAATATTGGAATCCTCCATTGCATGAAGGACAAACTATCCGATCAACTCATTATTTTTGTTTCGTTTGACGATGCAAAAATTTGCAATGCAAGAATTATTACTCTAACTTCTGAAATGAAGATGGAGACTGAAGGGGAGAACCAGAATGAAGGTGGAAAACGCCAAGGAAAAAGAGGGATCATATACTCCATGCAACTCCAATGATATAAATTATACTTAAAATTTTAAAGGAGAAGAGCACATTTAACGCTCGGAAAAGTCATAAGCAAAAGAGTATAAAGTAACTGACCAAACAGAACTTTTGTGACTCTCTTATATTACTCGTTGATTTATTGATTGAGTGCTGGTGTAAAACGCAAGGTTCAGCACTCTTTGCCATATCATGTCTATCAGTTTATAATGTTGGAGGAAGTCGGAGTAACCAGAGAGAACATCGACCTTTGACAGGAAAACTGTCAACCCTTACTGGTCAAAGCGAGGCATACCGAAATCACATTACAATGATTAACTGATGTATTTGCATTCAGGTGTCACAGGTCAAATTTATTCGTTCATTGTGTGTTAATGTACGTTTTTTGATTGAGTTAAGCCTTCCAATTGATATTTTATAGTGTGTTTTTCTATGTTGTGATGTTATACTATTGTTTCAGAAAAGGGAGAAGGTTTGGTACCATTAAAACGTTTAATCCCGCTGCAAATGTTTGCACCTGTCCTAAGTCAGGAATTTGATTACAGTAGTTGTCGTCTGTTTATGTAGTCCATACGTGTTTCTCGTTTCTCGTTTTTATATAGATTAGACCGTTGGTTTTTCCATTTGAATGGTTTTACAATAGTAATTTTTTGGGGCTCTTTATAGCTTGCTGTTTGGTGTGAGCCAATGCTCCGTGTTGAAGGCCGTACCTTGACCTATAATGGTTTACTTTTATAATTTGTAAAATGGATGGAGAGTTGTCTCATTGGCACTCATACCACATCTTCCTATATCTATATACTTTTTTGTAAGATAATTACTACATTATATGTGTCAAAATGTATAAGATGAATGTACACTGTTACTACGAAGAACACGTATATCGTTACTCTGAAACACTTTATACATTATACATGTACGATGTGAAGTTGAAGAAGCACATATAAAAATGTGCTTTGTTTCTATATCTGTCATAATAATTAACCGCTACATGTATCACGGTGTATTACAAGAATGCGGGAGGATGCGCACGATTTACTATAGATGCAAAACATTTCATAAATCATACATTCTAACATGTAGGAAGGTCTACATTTCTGTCAGTACAAATTAATACTAATTAATGAGAAGAAAATTGTATGAAGACTTTCTTGTCCTTTCTGTTACTATACTGCTAATGTTCCCTTCCATTGCTTTTGACCGCAAGATCTATTTAATCCTTAAAGTTTGACCTTTTAAAAACTATTACAGGGAGATTCTAATGACAGTAAGAATATTTCCACAGGAATAAGCATTCTCGGACAATTTTTTGGCAACATGCGGTAATTGCCCTCTTGAAACAATATAATGGGTTTCCACACATTTATTTGCAATTACCAACGACAAAAAACACATCAACAAAGAAGTATTTTATACATAATGTCATGTACATATATGTGTTGTAAACAAATTTCAATTATCTCCTTTTATTCATATCATAAAAAATATTTTCATCTTAGAAACTTATCACTCCTGGTTTCAGGCGGGGCTCGTATTGCTCAGTCTTTAGTTTTCTATGTAGAGTTTTGTAGACTGGTCTTTTTTTTGGCAATGGTTTGTCGGTTTCTCCTCGACTTATGTATTTCGATTGTTCATTTTGGTATCTTCCGCCTTGTTTTTTTAACAATCAGTAAAACAATCTAAAAAAAAGTAATTGGCTCTTGCTTAATTATAAAAAAAAAAACAAAATGCATTTCATGAAGTGAAGACGTTTCAATAATTGATACATAATGATCATATACTGTTTAATCAATTACACTATAGGATGTACTACTAGACACTCAAAGTTCAGTTTATTAACTTGCTTTCATTAATCAGTGATGTCTGTCTATTGTTATGTAATTGCACAACTCTATAAAATGAAGCAAGTGGTCTTACTTCCTTATCTGATGGTCTATTTTAACATCTTTCATCACATGTTTGTATTGTTTTTCTTTAATCATTATTCTTGTAACACATATTAAAGTTTTATTCCTTTACAATTTTACAAGGCTAAGGATCACTGTTTACAAAAATAAGCCATCCATCCAGGGTAATACAATCACTCAGCTATTCAGAAATTTCAAATTTTCACTCCTTTAGTGTTGCCAAGTAGTACTGATGATGGAAGTTGGTGTCAAATGAACGCGCTGTTTGACTCCAAATGCAATACCTGAAATGATGAAGTTCGATAAGCGCGTTGGTTCAACCCAGTTGTTCACAGCCACCAAAAATTAAAAAAAAAAAAAAAATAAAAAAATTACGGGAAACCTTTGGAACGTGTCGGACTTCATCATGTCATGCATTGCATTAGGAGTCATACAGCATGTACGGTATCTGTAATCAAACCATCGACAAAGTGTTACAATCAGATACAAAATGTATTTATACAAACAGTTCCCTCGTGAAAAAAAGAATAAACGTCATAAGTTTAATTCTCATTGGCATAGATGATGATATATAAACATAAGGAGATATATCATTCTTAAGGTCACTGTGTAAATATTCTGTTAAATATTATCTGACTAATTCGTATGTTTTCTTTAATTTGATCATGGTATTGTCTCACCTCCTTGACTTGTGATTGTTTTTTACCTCCTTGATATCTTTCACTTTTTATATATTTGAAATAATCAGCATCTAAATGTGTAACGTGTTGAAAGTATATGATACTGTCTTATTGATGCCTCTATTTTTTTTAAGTCTCTTACAATTGCAAAAATATGGTAGACAATTATTTGTTTTTTTCTCTTTTCCATATACGTTCATCTATTTAGTGACACTGCAAACTATTGCGATACTCTTTTCCACAAATACCTCTAAATTTGGATCTCATGTATATACAGTAAAAAATAATGGAGAAACAAAAAGTTTCTGTGGTGAAGCAATCTGTCTCATTTTCCTTAATTGGCAATTTTTATTTTCGTCGTAAGAAGAGTGATAAGAATTAAAATGAATGACATTTACCCCCAACAGAGAATTTCTTGATAGCAAAGTTAATTTTATATCGATAGAGACTTCCTTTTCTCATAAAGAGGTAATTTACTTTGCTATTTTTGTCTCCTTTCTTATTCTCTAGAATATTCAACAATAACATAATCATATGTCCTGTCGATCATTTCGTACTTCTTGCTTGTTATATAACACTCAATGATTCTGCTTCCTGTGCTGTCAGCAATTAATTTTAAAATCTTAAAACGTCATCTGTTATCCGGAAACTACACCTTTTCATGCGGAGATTTTCAATACTAAAACAACAACGATCTAAATGTAGAAACTGATAGAAGATTGCAGTCTTAATTATCTGATGCTAAGAATTCCTCAATAAAATATAATTTAAGTTAAGAAAGATATCGATTTTCCGACCTCTAGTTGCTCAGACGGATAATTACGATAACAGTTGTCAATCTAGTATGAGGAAAATCTGAAGAAATGGAAATCTAAATCTAAGCTGCTTTGCTCGCGGGTATATATGTATTTTATCTTTCGTATCGAATAGATAATATGCAGAATTAAATAATAACATTCAGTGTGCATCAGTAAGAAGTTGAAATACTGCTGTTGTTATCTCTTCTGGCGGCGTCAACGTAGCTTCACGTGGATACATGAAAACAAGCATAGGTAAGTTTATTTTAATACTAGTGTAATAATTAGCATGTGTAGAAAAGATGAGTTTGATTTTTTCCCTGATGAATGAATGTATCAAATTAATTGATGCTATTAGTATTAATAGAAATATATGTATATGTATATAGATATCTCTTATAATTGAAAATCCGATGGACAAGTCGTATAATTAGCAGTTGTCATTATGTGATATAGACAGATGGATTAATATATATAAATGTGTAATGGGATGTCCTTAATTGGCATGGATTTTTTGGTACAAGATTAAATGAGCAATAATCAATCAATAACCATATACGGAACATTACATTTGATTGGAATTATAAAGAAAATAATGTTTCAGTTATCAAAACTTTTATCTTTTTCTGGCTCAACCATAAAAATAAGATAACAGTGCTTTCGAGAAAAAATTGGGAAAATATTCGAAGTGTGAGGGATAAAATACAAGTCCAGATAAAATAAAAAATAACTCAATAAAATATAGTTTATCATTTTAATTTGTGAATATGTATGTAGTTATAGCTTGCCATTTCTTGATTTTAAAGAATGCTACACGTTCATGCCACCACATTTCCTTTTAAAAAAAAAGGACATTTGTTCAACAGGTGTAAACCTGTTTGACAAGACGATGTTTATATTTAAAGCAAAATATGCCCGACTTGTATGGACTTCTATGCACCATATCTTTGCTTAACACTTTTAATTTACAGATACATGTAAAACTCTAATACAAAATAGTGTTTACCATGTACATCTGATTTTCGACTGTCCTGGTTAAGGCTATAAGGTATCCATGGTACCATTTGTGATCAAACGTATCTTTAAAGTGTAGACCCCGAAACTTATATCTGATTAATGCTTTTACTTTATACTTGCCAATATACTATAAAATGTACGCAATAGAACATATGGTTCGGGGGAAAAACACAAAATGTGTAGAGTCACTGTAATAAGAGACTTTTTTGTCCCCTTTCCTCTCTATTCCCTCACTTTTAAGCTCTTCAACATTATTATAAGTTTCGGACTTTCATATATTTTGGCCTCGAGTATTACTAAAGAGACAGCGCATCTGGCGCAAAACAATTGATACCGTTTATGATATTTTAAAACTATTTTATGCAAAACAGGAAAAAAATAATTCAATCAATAAAAAAATAAATTACAGAGATAAAAGAAAGAAAATATTTGCAAGGCATTAACCTTCAAGAGTACTGACATAGCGTAACTTACACAAGATTTTCAAAAGATTAAATTCCTTCATAGAAAGATATTTATAATGAGATTTACAGTATTAAGCTTAAGGTTGTGGGCAAGTTTTTATAATGAGAATCTCAACTTTGTACTCTGTTATATAGTTAATAATTATCCGAAAATGTGAACTTTTGCAAATAGCTAAATAATCTCTTTTTCTTATCTGGGTCTAATTCTTTTATCAATTTGTTTATTCGTTTTTTCATCTTGACATTTATTTATTTTCATAGAATTCGTTGCTGATTCCTGAACTACATGTCATTCTATTCATATTTAAAAGTGAATAACATATGTTGAATTTTCATGTTTTTTTTTTTTATTAATAGAAAAAGACAAAGTTGTTTGAAATACAGATTAACTTATAATTAAAGCATAATATTAATGTAAAAACTCTAAGGATGATGTTGTTTTTAATTTTCAAATATTTTGAAAAATAAAACATAAGTTTAGAGACATTATTTGTCAAAATGCGCATTTGGTGCAGTAAAATTGGTCCCGCTAATGCTAATACAGAAAGTTAGATCAATGCCAAGGAAACGTTGAATCTGATTCACCGTTTTTCAAGAGTGTCATTCTCTCTGTATATTAAACAACTCTATGAAGGATTTTAAAGGAAAATGTCCTTATTTTATCGTCTACCATTGTCTACAAATGAAAACCCTATTTCACGTCAACCATAACGTTTTATTTGATATTAAAATTGAGAATGGAAATGGGGAATGTGTCAAAGAGACAACAACCCGACCATAGAACAGACAACAGCAGAAGGTCACTAACAGGTCTTCAATGCAGCGAGAAATTCCCGCACCCGGAGGCGTCCTTCAGCTGGCCCCTAAACAAATATATGTGATAATGAACGCCATACTAAACTCCAAATTGTACACAAGAAACTAAAATTAAAAATAATACAAGACTAACAAAGGCTCCTTTTATTTGTTAATCTCCTGTATATGTTAGCATGAAATATTTGCCGCTGGATATGCGGTGAACAACAGTCAATCAATCATTTAAGCGTACGTAATGGTGTTTATTCTTTCTTCTTCAGTTCAACCTAATGCTGGTGATTTATAGATATTTCATCTAAATTGATATCTTCTGTTGAACATAATAGTTATTGTTACTTATTATGTAATTTTTCATTGATTTTTAAAATATTTTTTGTTACACCAAATGCAAAGCTTATGATATAACAGTTAAATACTTCAACGCTGAATACATTTGGTATAAATCTGACTACCACATTGTAATTAAACATGAACAATTGACAATAATCGCTACACTCAACATGTTCTTACAATAAAGCTTTTTGTACTGATATTTTGTACTGTTATTAGATTAAAAGGTCATAAACACTAAAGACTTGGCAAAGAATAAGACAAAAACTTCGGTAGTGTTTACGTTCACAGAAACTCAGGTAGCTATCCTAGTAAATGATGTACAGTTCCGCCTCTGTAATTATTTTAGATCTTCTCGTCTGTCTTAATCAGGTGTTGCTGCCTAATGATACTGCATAACTATATAATGAGTCATTTATTTCACCTGTAACTGCAGATGTCTGACAATACGTCGGTTATCATTCTAGGGCGGGAAACGTAAAGGAAACGTAAAGCAATTCTCGATAGTATGTTTTACTATTATAAAGAATGATTAATGCCAAATCAGAAATGTTTATTACTTGTGTCCTATGTCATGACTTTGTAAAAAGTGAAATATGATAAGTCTGTCCACACTTTGTTGATAACCTGCATCTAATAGCTAGCTTTTATTGGCATATTCCTCATTTTCTATGACTCTAAATGACGTCTTTACACTAAATACATTGGAAGTTGGGTTGTACTGATTGATCTTTTAGTCTCAAATACACGATTTTTTTGAGAGTTATTATTGGCTTTGAAGTAGCTTTCAGTAACTGTGAGTACTCTACGATCTGAACTTTGTGTTTTTGGGAATTTTTCATGTGCTTTGAATCGATCTGATCAGTTATGCCTTTTTCAACTGATTTTTATAGTTTGTTCTTATCACACTGTCCCAGGTAAGGGAGGGTTGACCCGCCCTCAAACATGTTTAACCCCGCCACATTTTGTATGTGACTGTCCCAAGCCAGGAGTCGGTAATTCAGTAGTGGTCGTATGTTGCTGTATATCATGTTTGTTTTTCGTTTATTGTTTTGTACATTAAGTAGGCCGTAATTTTTCCTATTTGAATTGTTTTACAATTGTCATTTCGGGACCTTTTATAGCTTGCTATACGGTATAGCTTTTGCCCACTCTTGAAGGCCGTACGGATACCTATAGCTGTTAAACTTCTACGTCATATGGTCTTTGGTGGAGGGTTGTCTGGCAATCATATGCATACCGTTTTTTTTTTAGATAGCAGGTTTTTGCAATCTAACCATGCACACGACGTGATTGTAAATATACAGTAAAAAGCGATAATTAAAATATTTGTGAAGATGGTGATACATATTAATGATATCATTTATAGTTGCAAACTGATCCTCCCAATTATGTGGAGAAATATATACTATATTTCATAAAACAGGTCGGAAATGTAACCAGTGTTTTTTTTTTGTGGGCTATGTTATTTTGAAAATGGATATCTTTCTCAATCTATACTACTAAAATAACGAGGTCCAATTTGTTAGCTGCCCGGCATGAAGTAAAAACGACGAATCAAATAATTCAACTTTATATATAACTAATATAGGACAATGGTGTGGTTAAAAAATTACACCATTCCAGGCCCTTTTGTTTTCCACATAATTAATATTACCAATAATAAACAAGTTACGGGTCGAATCCGATACTGATACAATACTATATGCCACATGACGTTTCCGGTTACGTGTTTGTTACCTTCTGTAAATCCCTCCTCTATCAAGAAAACCTGGAATTCTTCCAGTAGTTGTTTTATATCTATGTTACACTATATTACACTATTTAACAAGTCTGTTTTCTTCTACCTCAATACCACTATTAAATTTGGTAAATTAGTAAAAAATAAATTTAGTTTATATTAAGTTTATTGTAGTAAGAAAACCAGGACAGGTTCAAACAGAAAGATTCTGAAAGCAGAGAAAACTGTGCACCTTACAATCAGCATGACTTTATCAGATAGCAATACGAATTCTAAAAATCCAGGCTAGAAATAAGGCATATGTACTTTAATTCAGTCACGGACCCGCGTTGTCGCGGATTTGTTCTAGTATTTAATCAAAACCGCTAAGAGAGAAATTACATGATTTATTGGAAAGGTGAAGATTTATGCTCTCCAGCAATACAAAATGGCCATAATCGAGGCCATGAATATGAAATTGGTAATGTATATTATTAATATACATAAGAAATTGATGATGTATTAGAAATTAAAAGGGTGTTTAAATGAGGAACAAAATTTGACCGCAATAGGACACGAATTGCATTGTATAGTTATGTTTTTCATATACCAACTCCCATACGTCTTAGTATGTCGGTGTTTGAAAAATTTTATGCCCCGAGAACAGACCTTAAAAAAAAAACTTACTACAGTATGTAAACGGAATAAATTGCGTCTCTTATCAATCCTCGATCACTGACGTGACCTCGGATAGATAAGATAAGCAAATGAATGCTTTCTATACTTATATTGTATCACCTTCCCACTCCTATACATTTGGTGTTTTATGTCATAAAATGAGCTTAACAGCATTCCATTTCTACTATTCATTAAATCTATTTTTACGTCATTGAATTAAGAACATGATG